GTGGTGTTACAATCCCACCCTAATCCTCTTTAACATAAAATTACAATCACAAAATGGAGGCCACCCACACAATTCTGGGAATCATGGCCCAGCCAAATTGATACACACATTTTTGGGGGAACGTAACTCAAACCATGACACCGTCCAAGACGGCAGTTTTGAGTACAGCTTTGGCCCCGTACCTGTTTTAATGTATTGTGTTCCCATTGTCATCATTTTCTAAACAATCTATAATTACATTTTGAAGTCTTTTTTTTTTTATTTTATTTTTAATCATACTAGTAATCATGGATTTGTTCCCATTTTTTAAACTTCTAGGGAGTTAAAAATCCCCCTTTGCCACCACCGTGTTCCAGCCCCGTCCCTAGAAGTCACTGCTGTCACCAGATAATGCAGTCTTGTCCACATTAGCGTAGTGTGTATCCATCCATATCTTAGCTACACACCTACCAACATGAGGATGTGTGTGTGCAGACAGAGATGGAGAGCTTGATTTGTTCACATGGTTTCTTTTCCATCGTAAATGGGCTCACGCTGCATGTGTCATACTAGAACTTGAAGTTTTCACTTAAAATATTTTAAAGATCTTCTAAGATTGGTGCATATAAAATCTATTTTATTCTTTTAATTGCTTCAAGACGTTTCATGGTTTATTGAAACATCCCGTTAGTGGCCATTTTGGTCGTCCACCATTGTTCCCTGTTGCCAGCAGTGCAGCAGGGCTCTGCCTGATTCTTGCCCCTTTGGCTCGGTTTTTGTTAGGCGCCATGGAGTTGGCTCTAGTGTGGCATAAATTAAATTTGATTTACTCGTTTCCCAAGGTTTACTAGGAATGTTTTTTCCCTTAAGAGTTTGGGCTTTTTAATTGTTATGTTTGTTTTGTTTAGATGTACGTTAGTGGTGTCTCATTTGCTGCTTTGTACGGAGATCACAGCTTGCACAATTGGTTCCTCGTGAGTGTATGTGCGATCAGTTATGTTTCACGGGTGCTCCTTGTATAGGATTCAGAGGTTAATGCGTATCTATAAAATCAGCCTAATTAACCATGTCTGGTCAGAACCACGCTGTTAGTCCTCACAGGAAGAGCTGGGAATGGAGAAAAACGCTTTGAACTAAGTCCTGGCTGCAAACACCAGAAACAGGGTTTGTGGCCTCCTGGATTGGCCCTGCCTGTCTCTTAGGAGAGACCCTGGGTGGTGCAAATGGTTAAGCACCTGGCTACTAACTGAAAGGTTGGAGGTTCACATCCACCCAGAGTTTCCTTGGAAGAAAAGCCTGGCAATCTCCTTCTGAAAGATCACAACCATTAAAAGAGTAGAATTCAGTTCTACTCTGAAACATGTGGAGTCGCCATGAGTCAGAATCGACATGATAACAACTGGTTTTTGTCTGTTTGAAAGGAGCACTGACTTAGTGTATCATCTTCTTAACTATGTTTACCTTTATCTATTCAAGAATTATTAAATAAAATAAGTCTTAAATAGGCCCAGGGCCCAAAGAGGGCTTCTCACAGTACTGCAACTCAGAACCAGAAAACTAACATTGAACTTTTTCTTTTTATAGTGTTTAAAGATAATGCTGCAGCAAGCTGGCCTTCCAGGTAGGTCATATACCGTGACGAGGTAATCCTTCCACGCCCTTCTCTTAGAATTATTTATAAGCCTAGTGAAAGCTTTTCAAACCTCTTTTTCTCCAGGGTTGTCAGTTTACACTTTACATTTCTGTGTGTACGTAGTGGATTCTCCTGGCTCTTGCTTGCAAGCAAAAAGAAAACTAGTGCTAGGTTAACTCTGAGAAGAGAGAACCTAGATAAGAACCAGCAAAGGTGTAAAAGACACGGTTCAGACTTGTACCCCAGGAATTACCCAGGTCTTTCACTGATTTTTTGAAAATCTAATTGATTCATAATTTCAGTGCACGTGTAGTGGTGGTGGTGTTAGTTGCTGTTGAGTTGACTCTGACTCATGGTGACCCCATGTACAACAGAACGAAACGTTGTCCGGTCCTGCACCGTCCTCATGATCGTTGGTGTGTTTGAGCCCATTGTTGTGGCCATTGTGTCAGTCCATGTCATGGAGGGTGTCCCTCGTTTTCACTGACCCTCTACTTTACCAAACAGGATGTCCTAGCAGTGGTATAGATTATTGTCTTTGTTATGTGCTGTGGAGTCGATTCTACTCATAATGACTCCATGTGACAGAGTAGAACTGCCCCAAAGGGTTTTCTAGGCTGTAATCTTACAGGAGCAGATTACCAGGTCTTTGTGCCTTGGAGGGAGCAGCTGGTGGGTTTGAACCGCCAACCTTGCGGTTAGCAGCCAAGTACTTAACCATTGTGCCACTGGGGCTCCTTGATATAGATTTAAAAAAAAAAAAAGACCCGTTGCCTTCAAGTCAATTCCAACTCATACCGCCCCTATAGGACAGAGTAGAACTGCCCCATAGAGTTTCTAAGGAGTAGCTGGTGGATTTGAACTGCTGACCTTTTGGTTACTGGCTGAGATTTTAACCACTGGGATGTAAATATGATGAAAAAAATAAATCCCAGCTGCCTTGAACTAGCTGTCGGGTGGACCGTGGCAGTCAGTTTCATTCTTGGGCTTTTCTGTGCCCCAGACCTCATTGAATCAGAAGCCTGTGGCCACGTGACCTGGAAGGGAAGGTGCCTGGCTGGGAGATGCTTTCCATGCAGGGTCCCATTTATCTGGCCAGCAGGCCTGCACACAGGGGTCATCATCCGCCTGGCGCATTTCACAGAGCAGGAGACCGGCTGAGACTGGTGGAACGGCCTCCTCAGAGTCAGACAGCAAGCAGCTAGTCTCTGCTTCAGCACCCAAGTTCTTTTCCACCGCGCTGTAACACAAAGTAATGGTGTTCACTTTCATTACTGCTGGTTTTTTAAGGTACTTAGATTAACTAAAACATTGATATAAGTCTTATAGTATTTAAAACTAGAACTAACGGCAAGAGAGGGTTCTGCAGAGAAGAGTGGAATGGAGACTGAGGCCTCTAGAGGATAAATGTCAGGTCTGGGTTTAGGCCTCTGGCAATGACTTTTTTGGTGGGGGGAGAAGTTTCTTTATAAGACATTACTAATAGAAACTGTTTTTTAATAACCAGGATTTTCAGCTTCTGCTCCATTTAACTCACCTCCAAAAAGAAAAAAATCCCATTTCGGCAGTGTAGCAAACATGTTGAAAAACTGAAATCTGATTGAAGTCTATTTATAACTATTCATTTATACCAACTTCACTAAAATGCTATTCAAAATGAACTATATTTTTGTTAGAATAACTGCTAAGTAGATAGGACCAGTTTTGTTGTAAACCTTAGCAGTTCTTAATTAAAGGTTAGTATAATCTTTTAGCTAAGACAGTGAAATAAATCTCGACTTCATAGTGGTTTTAAAAGGGACTCCGTACTCATGTACATACATTCATAAATGTGTACTGATGTGTGATGTGTACATGTAAATAATAAACGTATAAAATAAATTTTGTCTAATAGTAGCAAGTGTTGTTTTTATTCTTAAATATACAGTTCTTGGTGGAAGAGAGGGCAAATTAACCAAATTGGGGAAACAACTTTTTTTTTTTTTTTTAATGTCGCTCCTGCCCTGGAAGTGATAATTTGTTTAAAAGATTAACTAATGATTATTACCAGACCAAACCCTATTTGATATTTACCCAGAAGGCTCATTTCTGACGAACTCTTAAATTATATTCTGAATTCTTTTCATGCTGATTTTGATTCCTTCGTAGGAGACACATGGCACTTGCGAAAAATGAATTGGTGCTACGAAGCTGGGGAGGCTTTACGTGAAGGGGTAAGGTTACTTCTGTGTGTTTGGTTCTGAAAAACCAGTTTAGTTTATGTTTTCATGCAGGGTGCCCTCTCCACTCGTGTGAATAAATTCTAGAGAAAGCTTTGATTGCTTTTTTTAAGATACAAAAATCTACAAATGGGTCTTTCACTTTTTTCTTACTGTAGTTTTTTCTCAAAGTCTCAGCTAGGCGGTACTGTTTCTAGCATCTATGATAAATCCCCTGTCAGTGAGCGAGAGTGTCCGAAGGAGGGGTCTTCTTCAGTGGGAGGAGGAGAACTTCAGGAAATAAGACTGGAACTAATGAAAGAATTTAAGGATACACTCTGAATTTTTGAAACGTGAATATTTTAATCTCTGTTTCTCTGTAAGGTAATGATGGCAAAATTCATCTTACCAACCAGTCACTTAGACATTGGTCCAAACTACATCTCTAGATCTAGCCAAACCTGGGGTAGCCTTAGAAACAGTGTTAGCACAGAATGGCTAGGGTCCAGTTAGCCTTCGCTTTGGTGATCCAAGTAGCATCAAGTGTCCCAGCCAAAACCCACAACCTTACACCCAAAATGAAGCTTGGTGAGAAAGTGTAGATAGCTGCTGTCAGCTGCCCTTGTCCTCAGTCTGCCCGCCTTTGTGTTCAGTAATAGGCAGCGGCACTGAACGTCAGCAGAAGGTTGATTAAGCAGATGTACTGGGGCCTTGCACTGGGACACTCTGCAGTCAGCAAGTCAGTAAGGAGACGCCCAGGAGTTTGGCTTCCTACAGTAAAACGTGGACTCAAAGAATTCTCAGGACATACAGTTTGGATGGCAGAAGAGTGTATTGATTCAGATGGTTTCAGCCTTGTCTTCCCTGTTAATTACCCAATCTGTACGAACAGTTTATCTAAAAGCAAACTCAGAACTGGCTTTTCTTCCCAGTTGTGCTGTCTGTCCTCATCCTGTTCCTTTCAGACTAAAATATGGCTGATCCTGCTTACCTTCCTGTGTCGTCTCAGCCCTCAGAGGCCTGACAGCTCTTCCACGCCTCCCCTGACCGTCCCCACTGTCCTCCTTCCTATGTCACTTCAGCCCTCAGAGGCCTGACAG